CCTTTTTGTCCACTCCAGTGTCCGACCCACCTATTTCACCCACTTTACCACCTCCATTACGTCCTGTTTCTCAGTGTTTTGCACGATAGCATCTGCAACTGCACAGGGAGGTTGATTCCATAGTAGAAAAACCCATATCACTTTCTATCGACTCCTCAGAGACTTCGGGTTCGACTAACACTGATCTAGGTATGCCCCTTGCCTCTAGGGGTAGATTCGAGCCGAGACGAGCCGAACATTTGAGTATTCGAGCTAAACTCGGTAGGCAAATGCAAGGCTCGAGCTCGGTTCGAATTGGAAATATAAGCTTGAGATTGGTTCGATTACAAAATTCACAGGTTCGAGCTCGATTTGGCTCGAGCTTGATAATGAACCGAGCTTATTCGAGCTCGAGCTCGAACTTCGAAGTCCCAACTCCTATCTGTAGAGAAGAACCCCAAATCAGAAATATCCTTTGGACCTGCCGCTACCGGCGCTCTTGTTGGTGATGATAACTGCTTCAAGAAGCAGAGAAAGGAAGGTGCAAACTGTTGTTGTTGGACGTCGGTTGTGAAAGCAGTGAGAGGAGAACGAAAACCTGTTTTTCTGCACCTTTTCGTGTATTTTGTAATTGTAGCAGAGAGATCCAGAACCAAAGGCGTCGAAACTCTAACTCTGAGAGTTGAGAGCTGAGAACCTGAGACCAGAAGGCTCCTCAATCCTCCCACTTTCAATAACTAGCTGAGAGCTGAGAGGGTGAGACCGTCGACCGGTGAGAGCTGTGGCCTGTGAGAGCAGAGCTGCAATTGTAGAGGAGAACGAAAGCCTGAAAGTCAAGGAAGAAAAAGAAAGGGTTTAGCCGCTTAGGTTTTTTGATCGAAGAAGATGAAATATTTCTCCCTCTCTAGTCTTGAAGAAGTATACTATTTGTAGGGACCATGGTATAATTGTGTCCCTACCTATAAAATTTTCTAGAAAGGTATATATACTTATATATATAATATATATAATATAAATATATATGCTGATATACATATATGAGGTTCGTTAGGCTCGCGAGCCTAACGAGCCGAGTTTTAAAATGTTTGAACTCGACTCGATTGACAGACGAGCCATATATGAGGCTCGTATTCGGCTCGAAGTTTGGTTTGGGTCGAGCCAAGTCGAGCTTTTCACAAGCCGAACTCGAATAGCTTGTGAAAAGCTCAGTTCGTGTCCACCCCTACTTGCTTCCTCTGATGGTTTAGATCCTATTGATACTATTAACCCCATTGCAGATGACCTTGACCTTCCTATTGCACTTAGAAAAGGGAAGAGAAAGTGTACTGCTCATTGCATTTCACACTATTTCTCCTATAGTGGACTATCTCCTTCCTACCAGGCCTTCCTTTCCTCCCTTGACTTCGTGTCTATACCCAAGGGTGTTAGTGAGGCTCTCTCCTAACCTGAGTGGAAGACAACTATGCAAGAGGAAATGAAAGCTTTGATTAAGATTCAGACGTGGGAGATTGTGGATCTACCAGAAGGCAAGGAGACAGTTGGATGCAGATGGGTTTATAACAGTGAAATGCAAGGTGGATGGGAGTATAGAAATATATAAGGCAAGGCTGGTTGCAAAAGGGTATACTTAGACTTATGGCATAGATTACTTAGAAACTTTTTTACTAGTGGCAAAGATGAGCTCAGTCCGGATTCTTCTACCACTAGTAGCTACATACTCTTGGCCTCTCTTCCAACTTGATGTGAAGAATGCTTTTCTCAATGGGGACTTGCAAGAAAAAGTGTATATGGATCTTCTAGCTGGTTTCTACAATGATGTGGAAAAGGGAAAGGTATGCAGGTAGAAGAAGTCTCTATATGGTTTGAAACAATTACCCAAAGCTTGGTTTGACAGGTTTAGAAGAGCATTGGTTGGTTTTGGCTATACTCAAACACAATCAAATCATACTCTATTTGTGAAGAGGAGGGGGTCTCTGGTGTATGTGGATGACATTGTAGTTACAGGAAATGATCTGAGTGAGATTGATACCTTGAAGAAGAATCCACACAAAGAGTTTGAAATTAAGGATCTTGGGGAGCTGGGGTACTTTATGGGCATTGAGGTGGCAAGATCAAAGCATGGAATCTTCATCTCATAGAGGAAGTATGTTCTGGATCTACTACAAGAGTTTGGGAAACTTGGGGCAAAGGCAGCTAATACACCTATTGATCAGAACCACAGGATAAATGTTTCAGAGGGCGAATTAGTGAAGGATGTTAGGAGGTATCAGAGATTAGTGGGGCGGTTGCTATACTTATGTATGACACGACCAGACATCTCTTGTGTAGTGAGTCAATACATGCATGCCCCACGAGTTCAGCATTGGGAGGCTATTGATAGGATACTTTCTTATTTGAAGGGACACCCGGGTAGAGGCATATTGTTTCCTGACCATGGACAGCTACTGATTGGGCAGGGTGTCTAGATGACAGGAGATCTACATTCGGAGTTTGCACTCTTGTTTGAGGTAATCTAGTTTCATGGAAGAGTAAGAAACGGACAGTTGTGAAGGTCAAGTGCAGAAGCTGAATACAGAGCCATGACACATGGTGTTTCAGAGCTCCTCTGGATCCATTCCTTATTGGGGGAGATTAGGATTGAGGCAAAAGAACCTATGATGCTATTTTGTGACAATCAAGCAGCAGTTAACATCGCCCACAACCCAGTTCAGCATGATAGGACTAAGCACATTGAAGTGGACAGACATTTTATAAGAGAAAGAGTGACTTCAAGAGAAGTTTGCTTGCCATATGTTGCATCTGATTTGCAGCTTGCGGATGTTCTTACAAAAAGTGTTGCAAGAAGCAAGCTGGAGCATGATCTACGCAAGTTGAGAATGTGTGACATTTATTCCCAACTTGAGGGGGAGTGTTGAGTTATGGGTTGACTTTATTTATTTTTATTTCCATAACTTAGTTAGGAAGTCATTGGGCCTTAGGCCCATTAGCTTATGTCAAGTGTGTTTTTTAGCTTCTTACAAGTAGCCGACTTACTAAGGGCATACTTGTACTTGTACACTTTTTTATGAGTATATAATTAAAAAGAAAGGGGCGGCCAGACCTAATTTTTGGCTTCCTCTCATTCTCTTCTATTTCTTCTTCTTTTCTTTTCTAGCAGAAACTTTTCTCTTCTTTCTTCTTTTTCACAAAGTTCATATCAAAACAGCTATCAAAACTTTTCTACTAATTTTAAGACCCTAATATGGACTTGTTTGGACTTGCCTTGAGGGGCTTGGTACAAAGGTGGCTTGTAGAATTAGGAATGCATAATGTTTAACATCACATTATCTATTTGAAGTAATGCAATTGGGAAAAAAAAATAAAGAGACTAAGAGTTTACATGCTTGAATATGTTTTATATGTTATGCTTGATTTTATATTTAAGTTTTCATTCTAATTATGTTTTA